AATTTTAAAAAGAATAAGACCTCACAGAAGTTATTTGACCAAAATTTGTAGAAGATATTCTTAAAAATCGTCATTTTCAATGTTTTACAAAAATTTGAATAACTTCTAAAATAATGAACGCTTTTTAATAATCTTAGGCTTATTTTAAAGGTCATTTTCTACGGAATAAGCATTACTTATAGGCATTAACCTGTAATTTTTTATTTGGAATAAGCATGACGTCAAAGTTGGACAAAAAGTTAGAAAAATTTGAAATAAATTTTTTGCACTAAAAACTATTCTAGAACATATATAAAACATGATATGGTGAAGATTTTTAAAGAAAAGTTAATAAAAAAATATGTTTGAATTTCAAAAATTATTAAATTATTATTTTTTTTTTTTTGATAATTTTTAATATTTAGATCCTGATACATTTTGTCTACTGGGTAATACTCAGTAAGAAAAATTACAATTTGCATGGGGTCTTCGAATTATTATGTAATTTGGTGAAGTTGTTAAATTTGATAACAAAAATAAGTGTACCGAAGGATTTTTAAAAAGTTTCAAAATTGTACCTAAAAGTTACGCCATTTTGAATTTTTTTATAAGATTTTCTTTAAATGTGAATATTTCCAAAAGAATTTAACGGATTTTAATGAAATTTAAATATGTTATACTTAAAATCATGTCCTTCAGAATTTAAAAAAAAATTTTGTTTTTTTCAAAAAAAAGTAAAAAAAAATTTTTGAATCGATTTATTAAGCAAGGAACCGATTTTTGAGTATTTTTTGATACATAATAAAATATTTCTTATAATTTCACCTTCCATTTACAAAAAAAACCGATGAAGACTTTAATAGTTTTCGAGATATTTCAATTTTTGTGGAACCGCGACCACGTTTCAGTGCCAGCTCAGTATCTTTTACCCGGGACGCCTCACAGTGGGATTTTTACACTTTACTCTTAAAAATTGTCCAGAGTCTACAAATTTTATTGGATTTTGATGTTCTTCGTCTTAAATGAAAACGGATAAAATTTCTAAGAGATCCCTTTAAACCGATTTTTGAATTTTTAATTGTTTATTTATTTTTTTGTTACTCAAAGTTAACAATTAAAATATTTTTGTATAAAATCCTTTTTTTTTATTTTTCCATTGCACAAGATCGAAATCAATTTAAATTAGTCTAGTCTGACCACCTGACAAATAATAATGCATAATACAGTTTATTTAAATTGTTAAAAAAAACAATTTATATTAACAAATAGATAACTTTGGTCTTTTTTTTAAATATTGTTTTATTTGTAGACAAATTTATATTTATTTTAGTATAATGTATGTGTATTTTGTAAAAAAATGATTTTAAAGTTAACAATTATCATTGTTATTAATAATTATATAACCAATAATCTATTTTCTTTTGCATTTATAAACATTTCTAGCAGTTTTTAAACTTTCCTTGTTTATATCATATGTACATTCTTTTAAAAACTTAAAAAATTTATTTATTGATTTTAAAACAATTTTAATTAACAAATAGATAACATTCGTCTTTTTAAAAAAATTATTTTTTTAGACAAATTTATGTTTATGTAAGTAATTCATGTCTACGTTGTAAAAAAAATTATTCTAAAGTTAATAATTATCATTGATATTAACAATACTCAAGTTATCGATATTTAAGTAGACTCAAAATGTTAAACACGTTCAAAAAGATTCAATTTTTTTGCAGATTTAAGCCATTTATTTGTTTATAAAGTTAATAATTTCTTTATAACAAATTTAATTGTTTAAGCTTATAAATTTTTCAAGTTTTTGAAAGAATGTACATTAGGGTGTCCCAAAAAAATAAAAAGTTTTTCTTTATTGGGTCTCATCCCCTAAAATCCTTTCAAATTGTGTAAAAATAAGAACACAATATTTAGAAATAAAAAATTTTAATATTAACTCGTAGTTTGAACCATAAAAACGCTACAAATTTAGTGTTTTTTCATTTTTAACATAAATATAAATGTCAAAATATAATGAATAGGGTGTCATTGTAAAGATAATTTAATTACCTTTCGATCCATATGTCACAGTATAAGATTCAATAAAAATTGAGAGTGTTACAGTCGATTACAGATCAAATTTCATGGAAATTTTGATGATTTTTAGACACTTAAGTAACTTGTACTTTTTTCACATTAAACAGTAAAAAATATTTAGATTTTAATTTTTTTAATAAGAGTCTGTAACATTACAAAAAATTTTAGCCCTTGTGGACCTCGATTTGATTTAAAATGACAATTATACACTAGATTTAGTGAACGAAACTATTTTTTTCATTTTTATCATTCCTTCAACATTTGCAGCAAAAATTGAAATAATAAATTTAGATATAACCACTAAAGTTACTAAAACCAGTGATCAAGAAATACTGAAGTTGCTGATTTAGAGTCCAATGTCAGTTTTTCAAATTTCAAAATGGCGGAGAACTTTATAAAAGTCGAACGAATTCGTCTCAAAATCGGGTATCGGATTTTGAGACGGATTTAATCGACGATCAAATTATGGATTTTTGTAATGTTACAGACTCTCAATAAAAAAATTTAAATCTAAATATTTTTTACTGTTTAATGTGAAAAAAGTACAAGTTACTTAAGTGTCTAGAAAACATCAAAATTTCCATTAAATTTGATCTTTAATCGACTGTAACACTCTTAATTTTCATTGAATCTTATACTGTGACATATGGATCGAAAGGTAATTTAATTATGTTTACAATGACACCCTATTCATTATATTTTGACATTTATATTTATGTTAAAAATGAAAAAACACTAAATTTTTAGCCTTTTTTTGGTTTAAAGGGTCTGAACCACGGGTTAATATTAAAAAATATTATTTCCAAATATTGTGTTCTTATTTTTACACAAATTGAAAGATTTTTAGGGGATGAGACCCAATAAAAAAAAGTTTTCATTTTTTTGGGACAACCTTATGTACATATGATATAAATATTTATAAAGTTTAAAAAACTGCTGGAAATGTTTATAAATGCAAAAGAAAATAGATTATTGGATATGTAATTATTAATAAAAATGATAATTGTAAACTTTAAAATCATTTTCTTACAAAATTGACATACTAAATAAAAACATACTTAAATACATACTTAAATACATACTTAAATAAAAATAAATTTTTTTTATAAAAACAATATTTTTTTTAGAAAAAAAGACCAAAGTTATCTATTTGTTAATTTAAATTGGTTTTTTAACAATTTAAATAAACTGTATTATGCAATATTATTTGTCAGGTGGTCAGACTAGACTAATTTAAATTGATTTTGATCTTGTGCAATAAAAAAAACAGTATTTTTACAAAAATATTGTAAATTGTTAACTTTGAGTAACAAAAAAATAAATAAACAATTAAAAATTTAAAAATCGGTTTAAAGGGATCTCTTAGAAATTTTATCCCTTTTCATTTCAGACCAAGAACATTAAAATCCAATAAAATTTGTAGGCTCTAGACAATTTTGAAGAGTAAAGTGTAAAAATCCCACTGTGAGGCGTCCCGGGTAAAAGATACTGCGCTGGCACTGAAACGTGGTCGCGGTTCCACAAAAATTGAAATATCTCGAAAACTATTAAAGTCTTCATCGTTTTTTTTGTAAATGGAAGGTGAAATTATAAGGAATATTTTATTATGTATCAAAAAATACTCAAAAATCGGTTCCGTGCTTAATAAATCGATTCAAAAATTTTTTTTTACTTTTTTTTGAAAAAAAACAAATTTTTTGTTTGGAAAATTCTGAAAGGACATGATTTTAAGTATAACATATTTAAATTCCATTAAAATCCGTTAAATTCTTTCGGAAATATTCACATTTAAAGAAAATCTTATAAAAAATTTAAAACGGCGTAACTTTTACAATTTTAAAAATTTTTTAAAATCCTTTGATACACTTATTTTTGTTACTAAATATAACAACTTCACCAAAATGCAGAATAATCCGAAGACCCCATGCAAATTGTAATTTTTTTGACGGAGTCTTACCCTTATTCATTTCCATAATAACCATTCCCTTATCATAAATAGTGCAACTATGTAAATTATGCTTTGCAATTAAATTATTAGCGCCCCATCTTCCTTCCCTTTTTTTTGTAGTCGGAAGTGGAAAATCTGTGAATTCAGATACCTGGATGAAGGAATCCCAGGTTATGTGGGGATGGCCGCTCTTGTTCTGGTCGACCCACTAAAAACCACTCCCGTCTTATTCCGGACTTTTCTTCAACCCACGAAACTACCTATTGGCTTCAAACTTCGTGGGGTGAATTAAGTCACTCATGTGACTCTCCCGTGCCGCTCTTGTTCTGGCCTTACTTTCTTTTTGTCCTTGCCAAAGTCTTCTTTGCTTCCTCGAGGGCAGTTCTGAAGATTCTGCATCTCCCTGATCCAGCGACGTCTTGGATGTTCTCCTTTTCGCCGAACTTCGCCTTGCATAAGAAGAAACATGGGCTCTTCTTACAATCTACTGCTTGGCAGTTTCGACCTATATGTCTATATATATATGTATATGTATATGTATATATATGTATATATATGTCTCCATTTCTAGAATGCTTGCTGCCTCTTCCTCCCGCAACTTCACGCATTCATCTCGATCTTCATTGCAGGTAGCAATGTCAATCGCAGAAGCATTACTGAAGACAGAAATGCAGCTCGCTTGACTTGTAACTCTGCTCGTACTTCCTCGTCTATCAACTCTTTCCAAGACAATTCTTAGTACCACCAACGCGTTGTTGCCCTCCTGCATCCTTGGGCCATTCGCCACTGTCCCCACGCTCGAAAGCGCTTGACGATCGGAACCAGTAAGGGATTTAGCCGTAGCATTACCCCGCAGGTACTCTTCTTCTTTTTCACAATCGCTCATACTTAAAGTTTTTGGTTTTAAAGTCAGGGAACCACCCTGTTGGCTGTCCTTTAGTGAAAAGCCCCGCCACCACGGCAAGGTCTACCGAACATATACAAGATGCCAGTCGTGTCTGGCAGCGAACCTACTACTCCCAACTCATCAAAGAAATCAATCATGTCTGGCAGTGGACCCACTTCCCTCAGCCCATCAAAGAAATCAATAATGTTCGGCAGTGGATCCACTACTCCCAGCACATCAAAGAAATCAATGACAATTGCCACTGGATCCGCTTCTCCCAGAAGGTCAAAGACATCGATGATGTTCGGTAGTGGACAATCATCGGCGGGAATCTTCCTTCCCATTTTTAAACTATTCTAACGTCTTCATATTTTTTGACATTTTCCATCGTTTTTCAAAATACAGCATTGTTGATTAGTTTATAATTTTTTTTTCAAATTCATTACTAGATTGCTTTCTAAGTTCTGTATTTAATACAATATAAAGCTTTAATCACTGCCTTTGTTTAAATTTTAAAACCCTGTGTATTTTAGAAAATTTAATTCCCAAAAGTAAACGTAGTGGGCAAACTTGTTCAAAAGACGTCCTAAGGATGTCTTTTTGCGGACGTTTTTTGGACTTGTACAAAAATATGTCTTAAAGACGTCCTATTCATGTTCTATGTCTTGCCAATTAGATGTCTTTAAGGTGTCTAAAAGACGTCTTTTTCATTCAACATTTGAAAATAGAAAAATTTTCATAAATAGAAAATATTATTTTCTAACTTTAACTTGGACTTAGAAATTTATGAATGTGAAATTCATTGGAATTTTTTTAAGTTAAATTCATTTCATTGACAAGTGAGATCGTTAACTTTGTAAAGGTTCATATCTGTCTTGAACGGCTGACGTGCTTAAGGCGCAGTGTTTCAAGCCCAAGGTATCCGAGTTCGATCCCAGCTTCGTAGGAATTTTTCATTATTTCTTTACATTTTAGAAAAAATAAAATTAAACTTAAAATAAATTTAAGACGTCCAAAAGACGTCTTTTGGACGTACTTTAGACGTCCTTTCTTATGTCTTTTAGACGTTTTTTGGACCAGACATAGATCGTCTTTTAGTTGTCTTTTTGATGACTCAGAGACATTGCCATCATTGTCCCCGAATCGTCCGCGGACTAAAAGGGACGTCTTTAAGACGTCTTTTAGACGTCCCTGTGCCCACTGGGAATAATGCTTCAAATTTTTATATTGAATAATATACTTGTCTTTTGGCAACAAATTTGTTATTAATTTAGGTAAACTACTCCCTGGAGGTGTAAAATGTTCAGGACATAATACAGTACCGTCCGAAATTGTCGGTCCACCCATTTTCAAAGGAATGACAACATTTTTTTAACATAAAATTCATGAAAAGTAAAATTTTTTTTGGTTTATATTTTGAAAGACGATAAAATTTTGAAAAGAATAAGACCTTACAGAAGTCATTTGGCCAAAATTTGTAGAAGATATTCTTAAAAATCGTCATTTTCAATGTTTTACAAAAATTTGAATAACTTCTAAAATAATGAACGCTTTTTAATAATCTTAGGCTTATTTTAAAGACCATTTTCTACAGAATAAGAATTACTTATAGGCATTAACCTGTCATTTTTAACTTAGAATAAGCATGACGTCAAAGTTGGACAAAAGAATTCAAAAAATTTGAAATAATATTATTAAAAGAAAAATAATTTTTGAAATTCAAAAATATATTTCTATTAAATTTTCTTGAAAAATCTACACCATATCATGTTTTATATATGTTCTAGAATAGTTTTTAGTACAAAAAATTGATTTCAAATTTTTCCAATTTTTTTGTCCAATTTTGACGTCATGCTTATTCCAAGTTAAAAATGACAGGTTAATGTCTATAAGTAATTCTTATTCCGTAGAAAAAGACCTTTAAAATAAGCCTGAGATTGTTAAAAAGCGTTCATTATTTTAGAAGTTATTTAAATTTTTGTAAAACATTGAAAATGACGATTTTTAGGAATATCTTCTACAAATTTTGGCCAAATGACTTCTGTAAGGTCTTATTTTTTCAAAATTTTATCGTCTTTCAAAATATAAACCAAAAAAAATTTTAGTTTTCATTAATTTTATGTTAAAAAATTTTTGTCATTCCTTTAAAAATGGGTGGACTGACAATTGCGGACGGTACTGTAAATCTTTATGTAAATGATGTAATTCTTCTGGATACTCTAAATCAACCTCTAAAATATAATCGTCTAAAGAATCATCTGAGATACCAAAAACATTAAAATCGTTTGCCATTGAAATTCAGAATAAGGCAAAGATTCACTCATTCCTGCCCCATATAGATTATTTACATCAAAATACATAATATATGACTAACTCGTTTGGATTAAAGTGATTTTACATAAATCTGTTATTTGCCTTTGCATACCTGTTTGAACATTGCGAAACCCCACCCCTAACACCCTTCAATTAAAAATCGTTTGAAAAATGCTTTAAAAAACAATGGCTTAAAAGTAAATTTTAAATTTGCAGCAAATTTTACAACTTTGAGCGATGGGGAAATAATTAAAGAAAACAAATTTTTTAATACAAGAATGAAATTTATTTGCATTCTTCAAATATTAAATTATTCTTTGATAGTACAATTCAGTACATTTTAAAAAAAGTTAAAGATTTTAATGCAAAAGAGTCAGGGTGGTCTTTAAAAGAAATTGTAAATTCAATTGTAAATATTAATAGAAATGCTTTTTTACAAGAAGGTCTTAGTACATTTACAGAATTACCAAAATTTATAAGGGACAAACATGCAGTTGTAAATATAGAAATAAAGACAAATTTTGCTTTTGTTGGTCCATAATATCAGCTTTACATCCTGTTGAAAATAACTCTTGCATTACTAGTAATTATCCTCATTTTAAAACCGTATTAAAATATGAAGGAATTAATTTTCCCATTGCTGACAGACGTACCTAAATTTGAAAAAATGAATAATTTAAAAATAAACATTTATAGCATTGATTGCACTGAAAAAAAATCGGATATAGTTCCTTTATATTTAACCCTTAAACCGCACCCTGGGTGTGCGACACCCATATTCTAGCTTTTTACTCTAATATCTCGTATAAAGTCGTAAAAAATGAACATATGTCGCTATTGGACGACACATTTTGTACTTAACTTTATGTTCCGTGAGGGACATTAGTCACCCAAGTGTCTTTGTGTATTTGATAACTTTATGAAATTAACAGCGAAAAATTTCTAGGTGGCTGATACCCAGTTTTCGGTTTAAGGTGATTTCAGTAGTTTTAAAAAACATTTTTTTTAATATTAAGATTAAATAAATCATTATGAAACTTATTTTTCTTCAAAATAGATGTACTGAGCTACATAAGATAATTTTTCTGAACCATAATATCCTTTTCCAGCTTGGAGAACACACTTTAAAGTCCCCGGGTGTCGCACACCCAGTGTGCGGTTTAAGGATGGATTCGGAAGTGTGCGGTTTAAGGGTTAAGTGAACAATATTCTGAAAAACCGACAATTCACTTATAAATGATAAAAAATCAAGATTTCGGTAATGATTTTCATCATGTTGCATGGATTCGTAATTTGTATCGCTTGGTTAAATCACAAATGACAAAAAGTAAATGTCAAATTTTGATTTGTGATAGGTGCTTATGTCATTTTAAATACCAATATTCTCTAGAAAATCATAAGCTTGATTGTACAGTATTAAACAAATGTAGAGTAAAATTACAAAACGAAAAAGATAATATTTTGAAATTCAAAAATTTAAAATTTAAAGAAAAAGTTCCATTTGCTGTCTATGCCGATACTGAAAGCATGTTAGAACCAATTAAAGATAATAAAATGGTCTTTTTTGCTTATCAAAAACATGTGCCACATAGTGTCGCATTTTACCTAAAATGTGAGTTCGATGATTCTCTTTCAACCTTTGAACTATATAGAGGAAAAGACTGCATTTTATGGTTCATGAATAAATTAAAAGATATCGCAAATCTAGTTGACTCTTAGTTAAAGAAAATTGTTCCAATGGAACCTTTATTCATTTTTTATAAAATAATTATGCACGAGTTTCGAAGGATCTGTTAAGCTTTTGACCATAAAAAAAGAAAAATATTTATCGTTTATCAAATACGTAGTAAAGAAGAATTTTATTCCAAATTAAATTATTCGCAAATTTCAGAAGACGACTATACTCACGCTTGTCATGTTTGGACCACAATTAATTTAAAAAGTTTAGAAGATTATTTGGATTTATATTTGATAACAAATGTTTTACTTTTGGCAGATATATTTGAAAATTTTCGAGAAACTTGTATGTCAGCTTATAATCTGGATGCTTTACATTATTATACTGCACCTGGGCTTGCATTTGATGCAATGCTAAAATTAACAAAAGTGGAATTGGAATTGTTGACTGATATATGTATAGATATAGTGCTTTTTTGGAGAAAGGTATTAGAGGCGGTGTCTCTCAATGCTCAAATCTGTATGCAAAAGCAAACAACAGATTTATGGGGTCAGATCTTAACGAAAATATTGAAGAATCCTACATAATGTATTTTGATATTAATAATTTATACAGTACAGGATGTTACAAACCAGAACTTATTTATTGTTTAAAAATTGAGCTTTTGAGATGGCTCTAAATTTTAATTTAGGGAGGCACCAAGCTGCCAAGGTCTGAAGGACCTTGCTTAATTTGCGGGACCGTTATCCTACTTTTCAAAGAAAAACCTGCGATGCTTCATTAAGTTATTTTTAATTATGTTGACTTTATTTCAGTAGTTTTTAAGAAAATAAAACAGATGTAGCACTTTCCATTTTAAAATTTCTTTTAACATTTTGTCAAAAGAGAATACAGAGAAGCTAACAAAACTTGCAATGTTTGTTTTGTAGGATATAGAAAATTTAGTATAGAACCACTGAATTGAGACGGCGCAGGTACTACACGTACGGACTGGCCGGTTAAGAAACAAGATTTTCGAATTGTTTAATATTGAATTAACTGAAACCTCACTCAACCAGCTCGCACTGGACTCCGTCGGTTAGAAGATTATATTTTATTTTTACGTCCGCCATTCGCGTTATACTTGCTATGCAAAAGTTCTACGCAGGGGTCCGACGCGCAGACGGGCTTAGTCCCGGCATTTCCTACTTTCTTGTGACCAACAGATCTGGCAGGCCGTAGCCGGGACAGGTGTTAATCGCTTAAAGAGGAAAATTGTACAGCGGCGATAGAAATTTTGCGACAAGCCTCTATTCCTTGTCTTGATGTCAAAATGGGATAATTTTGTCGACTAAGGGGTTTTAGAATTAAAAGTAGGAGAAATCCTTCAGGCCCATTGGACGTTGCATTTGGCTGACAATTTTGATTTTCACGATAGTCTCATGAGAACGGAAATGGTCTGGAATTTGATATTTTACTGAAATAGTTTTTATAACTTTAAAACGAATAAATGGATGTTAAAACGCCCAGAGAGTTTTTTCTGCAGAATCACCTAAACTTTAAAACTATGTATCACAAAATTTTTTTAAATTTGTATTTCATAGAAAAAATTGAAAATTTTTTTTTTTCAATTTTTAACCCTTTATGCCTTCTTTGATTTTTTTCAAAATTACCTCAAAATATTCCTTTTTTTATTACCTTTTTATCCCACCAAAAAAAGTTTTAGGACAGTAATATTTGTATGAGTTACAAATTAAAAACTAGCTCAGCGCACGCTCTCAATTCGAGAAAATGCTCTCGCGTATAGAATTCGAGTATCCAAAAATGCCACTAGGTGGCACTGATGAATGCTTTCTGATAATCGAGTTTATTTACGCATATTATAAGTATCGCGACTTTTTGTACCTGTTATGGTCTTTAAATTAAAATAGAATAAAACTTTTAACAAAAGGTATTTTTCAGAAAACTTAGACAATTAATAGTAAAAAAAAATTATAAATGTACTTACTGCGAAAAAAGTTACCATTCATTAAAAGTAGAAAATGTTACAGGTACAAAAAGTCGCGATACTTATAATATGCGTAAATAAACTTGGTTGTAAGAAAGCATTCATCAGTGCCACCTAGTGGCATTTTTGGATACTCGAATTCTATTCGCGAGAGCATTTTCTCGAATTAAGAGCGTGCGCTGAGCTAGTTTTTAATTTGTAACTCATACAAATATTGCTGTCCCAAAATTTCTTTTGGTGGGATAAAAAGGTAATAAAAAAAGAAATATTTTGAGGTAATTTTGAAAAAAATCAAAGGGGGCATAAAGGGTTAAAAATTTTTAAAAAAATTTTAATTTTTTCTATGAAATATAAATTTAAAAAATTTTTGTGATACATAGTTTTAAAGTTTAGGTAATTCTGCAGAAAAAACTCTCTAGGCGTTTTAAAATACATTTATTTGTTTTAAAGTTATAGAGGTTCGAAAATTATTTTGGTAAAAAGTTTGATCCTTGACAGTGTAGCAACCCCGCATTGCACGGACCTAAAATCATGTTTTTTCTTTTAGTTTTTAAATGTACTAAAAGATATATTATTGCCAAAAAAACTGAGTACTTTTTTTTAAGTGCCTTTTTTTAGAGAATGTCTCATATATGTATTTTGTATACATAATTATACATATACTATACACATATACATGCAACATAATGTTCTCCGGCATTTTGTTGTGAACAAAAGTTACAACAAAATGTTTAGCTATAATCAAATTCGTTTTTGTAATTTTGAAATTGTGCTGGAAACAAAATAAAAGATCGTCATAAAGTGTTAAGTCAGCCTCCAAATGCTTGTGCATTTGTTATGAAATTCTAGCCCCTAAGCTTGTAGGCCCAAAAGGAAAAAAGGAAGGAGAGACAAGTAAAGACAACAGGAGAGACAAGGCAATGTACAGAGGCATGTGTAGCATGCTTGTATGTGCTACATCCCGAGATATAACTTTTTCTATTAATCAACAAATTATAATAAAACTCGACTTAATTAGAGATAAGATATATATGTATATGTATATGTTACATCCCTAGATATAACTTTCTTTTGTTTTTGATTCTTATTAATCTTAATCTTAATAGTAAAATAAGGTAAATAATTTTTAATAGACTTCAGATATTGCTATGTTCATTAATTCATTATTATTAATAATTAATGCTTAAAAATAAAGGGCATAATTATATATATATATATATATATAGTATATATAATGCAAATGTAAAAACAGATATGATAAAGTAGTAAGTTTTGTGTTAACAAGTTACCTACTAAGACTATTGAAATTATAATCGACCGCGATCTAGACTTATGTGAAAAGTGGGCGGCGCGGCGGTCGGTTCATTATCTATACTCATGGTAATTAATCTGCTGCCGCTCGCTTATCATAAACAGCGCAAAGTTATATACGCGTAAGAAGATTTTTGATTTAGACACTAGAGTCCTGAATTAAAACCTATAAGCATGAATGCATGTAAAATGACTAAGTATATGAAAGTTTAAACAAATTATTGTAAAAGCGAGTGTCATATTACTTGTCTATGTTAATAATTATAAATGAAATGAATACTAACTACGTGCTTTCTAGAAATCGTCCAGAATACGTGACTACGTGACTTATAGATTTTAGCTCGATTACGTGCCTTTTAAACAATTCATCCCCAATCAGCTACTATATAAACCCCTGTTTTTGTACGATTGCTGTCAAATACTCCGGTGAGTTTCTGCCCGAACAGTGTCGTGAGTCGGCCCTTCGATCGTTTAATTAAGTTGTTAATCGCGGTGATTATTAAAAGAAAGCTTGTCTTCTTCATTAAAGAAGTAATTAGCACTAATAATTAGCAATCTTGTTTAATACAGTCGTCGTATCATTATAACAGTCTATACATTATTTTCTTTCTAATTTTAAACAAAATTAGTGCAAGTTATTTCGAGACATAAAGAAAACAAGTTTTTTTTGTACCAAGGTACGGTGTTCGAAATAACATTTAGAAATTGTGAATTAACTGTTAAAAATAGTCGTTAGTGCTTTAAGTGCTAAAATAACGAACTGAAAACAAAACAACACAAGTCATCCCTGTAAACAACGAAGTAAAGCTGGTTGCGGTTAATTATTGTAACTTCTATATCTACTTCAAAAATTGTAAGTAACCACAATTGTTTAAACTAATTTATTTTATTTGAATTTTATTTGAATTTATTTATATTATTTTTTTTATATTTATTTGAAATTTGCATACAATACATGACAAAATACACATAGATTTTGACGTAATGTAACAATCGTTATGGACCTTTTTTTATCTATATGTCAAAAATTAGATTAAACTTTGACATATATTTTGACTTATTTCAACCTATAGATTGAAAACTTTCACAAAACTAAGTGACATAACAGATACAATATTTTGTTATGATTAATAAAATAGGTCACATAATATGATATTAAATCATTAGACAATTATTATCAGCATTATTCATTATAATTATTAATGTCCAAAAAAATTTTTTTTTTAAAGAAGTAAAAGTAAAGTGATGTGACGAAGCTATTTTGAAACTTTTTACGATATTTACTATAATATCACTAATTTTTATTTTTATTTGAAATTTTTTTTTTTTTTTAATGTACTCTGAAATTCCAAAATTAATTTGAAGTTTACATTTAAATTTTCTATGGAGAAAAATGAAATTTTCAAAATAAATAAAAATATGTAATTCCAATTAGTATAATTGTCACAATGAAGTATTACAACCTGCTTATAACAATGTTACAAAATTGTTACATAAATGTTACATAACTATTATGTAACAGTGTTTGCTGGGAAGTTATTGTTAACACAATAATTTATCTTTCATCATGGCAGTGGTCTGTATTGATTCTCTGTTAACCTTTTTCTTTTATTTTTATTTCAGAGCTCAAATTATAATGTCGGAATGGATAGATGCACCTTCAAGGGATGGAATAAAGAACTGGCCTTTGGATTCATCCTCGTTTTACATACGAGATGCTCCTTATGCTGATGCCGTCTGGCATCAGGAGTACAGGTGGGATTGGGCCTTAAGAAAGTACGAGACTCGATCTTATTGGGCTCCAAAAGACTTCGTCTATCCGGCTTCCTGTAAAACTCCGATAGAGGAGCCAATGGAGAAAATCGTGGGGGTGCTGGGTGTAAACACTACTGAAGTGTAAGTATACTTTTAATATATTTGGAATGAATTAATAATAAAAAAATCAATTACAAGTGTTATTTACTATGGATGTTTATATTTTAGTCCATTTATTTTGCTTCCCGGAGTACCACCGAAGGAAGGATTTCGGCCAAAAAGTAAGGCCGTCCAATTGGTATTTGAGCAAAAATACCAATTGGAGTGGGAAACTCCAGAGCTAAATCAATACAATTGGGATTTGGTTAGTATATAGAATAATTTATTTTCCAATTTAATGACGTTAACTAGAAATAATTGTTGTATCAACTTAGCAAATGCAGTTTATATTACATTCTTCTCTATTACACTTCTGTTTCAGCGCTGGAATCTGGATTTACAAACAATATGGTTTCCTTGTTAAAAGATTCTGCAAGGGGCAGATCCTTGTTTACTTAATAATATAATAAGAATTTTATTATTGTCTAATGTTTATTTTTTTTTAAAAAAAACTTTTAATGTTTAATTTTTATATGACCGAATACATGATTTTGATTTTTTTTTTAAGTTAGTTAAAACAAATTGTATCAAACATCTATTCTCAACACTGGAGCATTGTTAAGATTTTAAATCCATTTAATAAATAGATTAGTGTAATAAAATGAATGTATAATCAAAACTTTTTACTTTTTCTGTATTTTGAATATACTAGTTGTTTATCACAATTTACTTTTCTTTACTAAATCTTTAACTTAAAAAAAATATACTATAAACAATACAGAACTATTCATCCGAGTTTATTATTTTTAAATCTATTCTTAATTTCAAAATTATATTTATGAATTATGATATATTTAATAATCGTAATATTAATTATTATACTTGAATAAATTTTATTTACATTCATTTATTAGTACTCTTAGTATAAAAATGTTTTTTTTTATTTTTTTCTTTATATTACTTAATTTATATTCAATTTATATTGCTAAATAGATATATTTATGTATTTAGTGTATTAAGTTTATAGTTATAATGGTTATTAGTTTTATTATCATGTGTTTTATATTTGAAAACTTTAAATCATGTTTATTAACTATATTGATTTTTTTTTGTTTTATTGGTAGGGGAGAGGTACGCACGTTGAGACGGGTTCTGTTTTTCAGTTATAATTTTTAAAAAACAAAATTTAGCGAAAAATTCGAAATGCTTTCTTAAAAGTATTGTCTAGGGCTACAACATTGCCAAAGAAAGTTATTTTTTTTGGACAAAATTGAAAAAGTTATAGCTGATTTTTTAAACATGTTATTTTTTACCAAAAAAAAGTGGTGCGCACGTTGAGACACCCATAGTAATTTATTTTAAATTGAAACAAAATGAATAATTACGTCAGATTCTAATTGTTTGTTGTTTATTTACTTATTTTGATGGTCTTAGCTCAAAGAAAAAAAATTAAAACATTAAAAATTAACTTAAAAAAAATAATCAAAAAATAAAATTTTATTTTCAACAAAAATAATTAATCGAAATTTTTATATTCGCAATTTTTATAGGTGAAGAACAAGTAAAACGCTTAAAAATTGTGGATTCAAAATCAATTTTAATGACAGTACTATTTTCACACCGTGAGAGTTTTAACCTGCGTACCACAGTGTGTCTCAACGTGCAGACCTTGCCGTTATTTTTTTAAAGCTTTGAAATTATTTGTAGATGTTAACGTATGTCAAAATTTTTGTCGGAACTTTAAAGTAGAACCAAAATTGATATGTAAATGTTATCCGCAATTTTTTCTGCCACTAAAAAATACAGTATAAATACACTAAACAGAAATTCTGAAAAACACTTTTTTTAACTAAAAAATTGGTTCGCTCTAGTTCTACCGAAAAAAACAGAAGTTATTGCGCTTTCATTGAATAAAAAGTTTGGTATTAATGATACGACAAAATGCCAATAAAATTTTTGGTATTATCAGTTACACAGGTTATAATATCTTAGTGTCTCAACGTGCGGACCGTCTCAACGTGCGTACCTCTCCCCTATTAATACAATTAAATTTTATTTTTATTTATATTTATTTATCGATAATTATATATAATAAATTTTATTTACAATTTAGTCGATATTCTAATCGGTATTCGATATTAAAATTTGATTGACTTATTTTTATTTCTCAAAATTGATGCGTTGATTTATTATAATTCTTAAATTCTTTGTAAGAATCATGATTGATCCAGTTTTCATTATAAGTGTTTTACTTTTAACTTTTCTATAAATATAAGACCTTGGTTAACAGAACAATTTTAATAATTTCTAAATCGTGGAAAATTGTGTAATTTTTCCTTTTATTAATTGTTGTTGTAAAAAAAAATATACATACATAAATTTTAGTTTTAACTGGTTGAAATAATTAAACTAAGTAGAAAGAGAAAAAAAACAATTTTAGCAGTTTACTATTTATTATTAGTAATATATGAGTATTTCTTAAATCTTATACGTAAAGATTCCAATTACAAGGACGTGGTGTGACCTAGTACACTCGCATTTAAAGAGTCATGTTCGTTCTTCGTAACTCGACACATGAAGAATGATGACGAAAACTTTCTTGCGTTTAATAGAGGAAATAAAAAAAAACAATTATAGAATTTAAATCACACCCCATTTTTTTAGGAATCAAGAAAATTTTAAATTAAAAATTGCAAAAGTTTTAAATTGACAAAATTATATATTTATAAAATTAGATATTTCTAAATTCCAAAATGACAGGTTTCTTTTCAACTGTTTTTTTTTCATAGAATAAAATTAGAGTTGCGCTATTGTTTATATTGCCATTAGAAAAATATTTTTCTTTCTATGAATAATTAGATCATTCCTGGAGACAAATTGGAAAGCATTATAAACCAATTGGTTTACACCAATTAGTTTACAACTGGTATTTCATTCATTTGCATACAAAAAAAAATAAAATAAAATAAGGAAAAGCATATAAGGAAAAATATTTTCCCTTCTTTCCCGATTTTTGAGTACTTTGTAATATAGTTTCGGAGACTTGTCTTCCAGTGAGCGAATCACGGAGACTTGTCGTCACGGACTATCTACAACAAAATTAAAAATCAAACGTCTAGTTTGAATTTTTTAACTTGCAAAAAAAAATATATATATATTATACTTGAGAAAGAATAATTAGAGAACTTATTGAAAAATAAAAATTAAACAACACCTTATTCCTTTTATAGAGTGTTATATTATTTTTAGAATTATTTTGTGAGCAAATCACGGAGACTTGTCGTCACGAACTATCTAAAAAAAATTAAAATTAAACGTTTACTTTAAATTTTTTTAATTTTTGAGAAAAGAAAAAAAAATTATATTTCACTTAAAAAGAATAATTAGAGAATTTACTTAAAAATAAACCAAAACTCTTATTCTCTCACAAAAAGGGAATGTATTATTTAGGATTATTTTAAGAGTAGAATTTCGGAGACTTGTCTTCCAGTGAGCGAATCACGGAGACTTGTCGTCACGGACTATCTACAATTATCTACAATTAAGGTCCCAAAATTGAATTAAAATAATTTTTTTTAATTCTATTTCAACATACCCATTGTTAGAAAGAAAAAGGTGATATAAAGAAATTTGAAAATTTAAAAATAAGAAAGAAATTATCAAGTGAAAATTTTGAAATGAAATAAAATCCCTTATATGAAAATTCCTTCCTTAAATTCTGAGGGGTAGCAACGTCAGGAAAAATCCCACCGCTGCCACCATCAGTTTGTTACGAACGAGAAAATATTTAAATAATTAATATAGTTAAATTAACTATATAGATTATTTTGGGCTTTTGAGATGGCCCTATTTTCAAGTTTGTTGGAGGAAATCAAACTGCCAGAGCGTGAGCTCTGTTTATCTTACTGGGATTCGTTATTCCTAGTTGCCAAAAATTCAGAAATTAATTAGGGAGGGGGGGGTAAAGAGAATATAGGAAATTAATAGAAAGAAAATTAAGAGTAATAGTTATGATTTATTGCATTTCAAAGAAAGAATCCATCCGCCCCTCAAACAATACAAGAAAGGAGGATGGGGTAAAACTAACCAGAACGATACAGTTACTTACCCGTTCTGGAACCTTAAGTCTACCGCCAGAATTCTTCCAACGAACGAAGATAGTTCACCACACACACACGTGCACAATTGTTTTTAGAGTTTATTATATTCTAAAATTTATATTCAAATTTATATTTATAATTATATTTATATTCTTAAATTTTTCAAACCTTTGAAAACAGGGCGGACGCGGTAACTTCTCGAAACCGACCGGTCTTTCAACAAGAAAATAAAATATTAATTTAAATAAATTTTTTTCACTGTTTCAAATTTAAAAAAAAACGGCCTCCGTGGACTTCGGAGTAAGTTGGTGTTTTATTTAACGTCCGACCAAATTGTTCGTGTAAGCACACAACCAATTTGGGTCCTTGGTACCGGACGGGAACGTTATAGGATTAAGAAATTTCTTTAACACCGATGCCAGAGTTTAGCCTCTGGGGGTTGCGGAAACCGAACTGAACAACTTAGATGTCTAATTAATGTGCTTTTATAGTTTTACTTCCTTAAGAAATATGGAAAGGTGGGGACAGGGCGTTGGACCTGTTGCCATGCCAAAACTGCGGGGCTTGCATTTTACAGGAATCGGTTCAATGCACTATGTTGAAACAATTTTATTCCCAGAAGAGAATATTTTTAATATTATTTTAATTATTATAATAATTTTCAATTTTGTTTTTCGAATTAATCTTTAAAAGAAATAAGATTAATGTGAGCTGGAATAATGGACATTTCAAAAATAGAAATTCCATTCTATTTTGTAACCCTTAAAAAGGTTGTTACAATTCCAACGTTAAATCATGTCAATAATTATTTTAATGTGCATTGAAACCTTCCGCAAGTGTGCAATTTATGGCGGGCAAGGTTTATAAGCTAGGTTGATACAAGGAAGCAAAACAAATAATAAAATAATAAAAAAAATGAATAATAGTAATAATAATAACCTAAAACGTTCCCATCTATATAGATACCATAAAATTGTTAAATATATAAATATTTTTAATTAAGACCGGGCCATCATTCACCCCATTTTCAAGATTTAAAGAATTAAAAGATGCATTTTAATTTTTAAAAGACGATTAGAATAGTATTCGCCATTGGTAAGAGAGAGAGAAAAAGCTATAAAACAGAAAGAGTACGCAATACTCTGTAAGAACAATATGTACGAGAGAGAACGCTTTAATGCTATACATAATATTCCTTCTCTCTCGCACAATGTCAAGGGGAGCGCGGGGAGCCTTCACTCAACGCGTTGAGTGAAGCCTCTTGTCCATTCTTCGTATATATATATATATTGTATTTTATTATTTTAATTCTAATAGTTAATAATTTTTC